GTCTCTACTCAGGTTTTTTCCATGTCCTCAAGAGGCTTGCGTGTTTTGGAAACAAAGCATTGGTTATTATTATTATTATTATTATTATTATTATTATTATTCACAGTGATCAAATGAAACCGTTATTCATCGCGTTCTTTATGCAATCCAAGTCCGTATTTACCAATTATTTCACTATCTTGTTCTCTTAACGTTACTGGAATTAGATCCACTGTGATGATAATAATTTCTTGCAACTAGCACTAGTATTTGTCATTATCTACCGTGTTTTAAAGCTAATCTATTTCTTATTCAATGCTATGTGACGTGGGCGAGTATACTACGATGAGAGCTATATTGAAAGACTTCCCTTTCCGTTTCACAGGAAGAATTCTGTCTGTGAGTTATCAGTTAGAACAAATTTTCTCATGACTTTATCTAATATTTAATCCAACTAAGAAATAAAAATATACAAGTAAAAGTAGAAGTAAAGAAATAAACCAAAAGCGTAATATATAATATATATATATATATATATATATATATATATATATATATATATATATGAAGACGAATAGAAGAAGGCAGGAAAATAAACATTCGTACGCCATCTCAGAAAATGTTCTTGTTTTAAAACAGAATTCTCTTTTGCATCTATATATGCTTGTTTTCTACTGTTTCTGCTAAAGAAATAAAACTGCATATATGCATTTCAATGAAGTTACGTGTGGAGATTGTAATTGTAATATTAACTGTAGCCTTATAAGGAAATATTCTGCAATTAGTTCTACTTTCGTTTGAAATTTATAAAATCTCTCTTAAAACAATTTTTCAGGGAAATCGTTCGCTCAAATTCACTAGTTTTTATTTTGTTTATTTTTTTTTATAGCTCTTTTAAGTATTGTTAGTTTTTTTTTTCCTAACCTTTTATTTGTAGTGGTTTGGAAGGTCAACGCGTTGATTAGCTCTTTATTTTCTTTATAAGGTGCTATCCCTTTTAGTTGTTGCTGCTGTTGAAACTCACCCAGTGAAGTGGCTTCCCTTATTTAGTACAGTTTCTGTTCTTGATTCTGGAATACCAGACTGCAGGCTTCGTAAAAAGATGAACCTCGCTAAGACCTGCAGGTTTCATTCGCGCGAAGATACTTTTAACCATCGATCTGAGAAGTCGTTTTTATACGGCGGGGAGTTTAGATATTTCTGAACCCGTTTGGACCCTTGTACGACATATTATTTTTTTTAATTATTTCACCCAAAGCAAGGCGAGAATGACACTAGTACGCAGGAACTGAATGTGAAAGAAAAGACTGAGAATAGGGAGGATTGAGGAAAGAACAAAAGATGAACAGGATTCAAGAAGATGGCGATTGACGTTGCATTTAAAATCTTGAAGATTGTAGTTACCAGGGAAGCAAGTAAACTGAAGGTAGTTCCACGGGTGGAAAGCGTGATAAATAAATAAATAAACTTTTGGGGTAGAAGTGGCAGTTGCGTTTAGCTATTTCACTAATAAAATGGTGGGATCTAGACGCCGCTCTAGTAGCACGCTTAATTTTATGTAGTCGGGGTACCAGGGGAAAAAAAGCTCCTCTATATGGAAGTCTGACTAGGCTATTTAAGAACATGTTGTGGAGTGGTTTCACAGTGGAGGCTTGTATTGGTACTAAGTCGATCCTAAAATAGGTTCGACGTACAAAACGTTAGGAACTTGATATAATAGGTAATGACGCAGAGAAATCTAGTGGTGGTCGCTGATACTTTAGTATCCGACTAACGGTCGTCTGGCATCGACTGACTGCCCGACCCACTGAGTGACTCCCTCTCTTACTACTCCTACTTATTATTGGTGGGAGTTCTATTAACTATAGAATAGGTGTTTTCCACTATAACAGAACATGATTGATGGTTTTACGTTGAAGTTTTGGTTTTGCAGCGTCTGGTGGTATTGTGCGAAACATAAGGCTAGCATCTGTTCAGTTACTTTATTTCATACATCTAAACTTGTTATGACTGGTCCATAGACCGAAGTAATTGACGTGTTTAGTACGATGTTTTAAAGAAATGGAAACGAAAAGGACACTTATAAATACCATCAGAAACAGACCGTTGAAATTTCTAGGGCACTTAATGAGAAAAGAAGGCTTAGAAAATTTGACATAGTGAAGTCACGAGAGACAGATGAAAAAAGTGCATAAACTACCCAACGAGATTGTGTAAATGAATAGTTTAAGAGATATAGCAAAAAGACAAAACTTACAAAGAACTATGAAAGACAGAAAATTGTGGTGAGCCATGTCCTGAATGAGGCATGGCATAAGTAACTTGCCAACCTGGTACCGTAACAATGGAAAGTCACAACCACTGGTTAGTCTGCTCACCAAAAAATAGGGGCAGTGAAATTATTGTGGTCCGGGTAGAAGAAAGAAAATATATAATTTTAAGGTATGCTATATTTATGGGATAAAGTGCTCAATATTAGAGACGAAGCGGATGTAAATATAAAATATAAAATTGATATATATATATATATATATATATATATATATATATATATAGTTTAATGATGCAAATTAAAATTAGAATGCAGCATAAAAATGTATCAGATATATTGATGTACCCTCTTAAATCTATCTATCTATCTATCTATCTATCTATATATATATATATATATATATATATATATATATATAGTTTAATGATGCAAATTAAAATTAGAATGCAGCATAAAAATGTATCAGATATATTGATGTACCCTCTTAAATCTATCTATCTATCTATCTATCTATCTATCTATATATATATATATATATATATATATATATATATATATATATATATATGAAACACGCATATATTGATTTGGAACGTGTGGAGCGTTTATCTAGAGATTGCCTTTGAACATTTATTTTATTTATATATTCATGTCAAAAAATCTAAATAATTTTTTCAAGACTTATTTAAAAAAAAAACGCAACGATATTTTTTACTAACCTAATAGATATGTTTTTACTAACCTAATAGATATGTTTTTACTAACCTAATAGATATGTTTTTACTAACCTAATAGATATGTTTTTCAAATAAACGTAGTTAAATACATGCGAGTGTATCTGCATTATTATCATTCTCTGTCTTTTATAATATTATCGGGTTTTTTATGGCATTATCAGTTTTTTATACCATTATCAGTTTTTTATACCATTATCAGGTTTCGTTTTAAAACTTTATCAGTTTTTTTTTAAACCATTATCAATTTTACTCATTTGATAAAATAAGCTTCACTTCTCATAGACGAAACATGTAAACTGATGTTTTTTTCAATAATTATAAATTTGTTTCTAACTTTTATGTATTCCTGTCTGCGTGCGTGTCTGTGTGTTTGTTCGCATGTGTATGTGTGTGTTCGTTTGTCTTTGCATGTGTGCGTGAATGTGTGTGTATGAGTGCGTGCCTATGCATATGTGTATGGTGCGTGTCTGCCTGAGTGTGTGAGTGTGCGTGGTTTGTATGTGTACGTTCGTGCATGTCTCAGTGTTAGTGCGCGCACGTGGGTGTGCGTATACCTGTGCAAGTGTGTATGTACATGCGCATGCGTGTTTGTGTGTGTGCGTGCTTACGGTTATTTCATCCATCTGACAATGTTGGTAGAGGATTCCCCTTCTGAAAGTCTGGGCCCAAATAATCTTTGTCAAAGTATTTAGCACAAGAAAACCTAATCTGACTAATATACGGCGTTTGATCAAAAAGTATCGGGACTGTTGCTATGGTAACGGAGATAAAGTATCCAGGCACAGATTCACCATGAACTCTGTCGCACATGCGCGCCAAGTTATAACGTTCTTGTTCACTTCCGTCGTTTGTAGCAGAGCTTGAAAGCAAAGTGTACAGAGTATGGCTGTCTCACCACATCACACAGGTTCCAACAGTGACCATAGGTTTTAAAGCAGTTTTTGGTCAAGCACAATATTCGTCACGTCCCACACTTGCCATATTTTTCAGATCTAGTCCCTTCCAATATTTTTCCCTTCAAAAATCAAATTCTATTTGAAAAGAACAAGATTTCAAGAGAAAATTCAAGGGAATGCGACGAGGCAGCCGATCGCTATACAAAAAAAGGAGTTCCGTCCATGGAAATCACGACGGATAAAAGTGTGTCATTTTAGAAAGTGACTACTTCGAAGGAGATTAAATACCGAATTGATATGTGTTGTAGTTTTCTTTTTATATAACCAGACGCGATACTTTTTCTCTCTTCTAACTTACTCATGTCACTTGACTGCCAAATAGTTTCAGTTTATAAAAACACTAGCAGTAGAGCCTGGCGTTGCTCGGGGTTGTAACAGTAAGAGATAGATCAAGTATCGACCATCATGAAGACTGAAAAATAAAATTGACAAAGATTATTGTTCAAGGTTGACGGACACGCATGTTTTAATTTGTTTTTTTTTTACAAAAAACCCGAACTCAAACAAAAACATTGTTTTCAATCGTTATGAGTCTATCGATTGAATAGAATTTTATTATAAACAATTATCTTGTAAATGGAATTTTTAAAGCATTCTGAATGTAAAAATAAAGAAAAAAGTGTGCAAGACAATAAGAAACACTACCTGCCAAAAAAAAGTGAAGTTTTGTTGAAATCGGTTGAAAAATGTAGGAAATCCGATTCCATATATAAACAAACACACACACACACACACATACACACACACACACACACACACACACAACCTGGGTTTTATAATAAGTATAACTCGATATGAGTTGTCCCCCTTTCATTCTGGCGACAGAATCTTGTTTTATCGTGTTTTCAAATTGATTTCGTTCAAAAACAATTGGGTTTTTCCAATTTGGGGCGCTGTCAGAACCACCGCAAGGTAATTTTACACAGTCCTGTGATGTTTTGTTGAAATCGGTTGAAAAATGTAGGAAATCCGATCCAATATATAAACGTACAGACACACACTGCGTTTTATAATAAGATCTATCTATCTCTCTAGCTATCTATCTTTTCTGCTAAGTTTCCTGCTATCTATCTATCTATCTATCTATCTATCTATCTTTTTGGAAAGTGAATATTTCAAATAAAAAATCGACTAGTAACTACGCGAACTTGTTGATCCACTCTCGTAATGCGATTTGCAAAACATAGGTTAAACATAAATATTTAAATCCTGCCATAAATAAGAATGCGTGTAATCTGTTCTTATTTCCATATCAAATTCTTCCCCGTTTTTCTACTTCGACTTCTGGTAATGTTTCGTTTTTGATCCCGATCTTAATACGTTCAGGTTATTTGATACATATTTCCGACAAGTATCATATGTTCACGATAGAAGAGACTTCTGGAATTGTTTTTTAGATAAAATATTTTCATAATTCTGATTCTTTTCTTTAGTTTTTTTTTTTTTTTTGTTGCTTTTTAACCGAGTAGAATGTTGGCATTTTACGATGACAAACGAGCAACGACCAGAAATATTAAAATAATTGGTTTCGAAGACACGGGTTTTACTGTTCCTAGGTATTCAACAATATATCTGTGACAAAATGGAGAAACCTTTTCGCGAAATGCATTTAATCCTTCAGGACTTCATCTAACGGAAATAATGTTTACATTGATGCAACTAGACGCGCGCACGAAAGGGAAGAGATACTGAAACATTAAATTTGAATTATTTTAAACATGGTTTTGGGTATATAATGTAGTCGATTCTCTTCCCGCTCGTTATTCACGTTTCTGTTCCTAATTTTTCCACACCAAGTAACCCCTTGTGTCTTAGAAGTTTTATTCCCTTGCTTGGGGTGAAACTGATTAAAAAAATCAAGAAAACTGATATCATTTAGTTTTTTTTTTCTCATCGGTTATGTTTTTTTCACTTTTGTTACTAAACGGACGACATTGGGATAAAAGAATATTTGCCAAGAAAAGAAAAAAAATGTTGTAAATGTGTGTTCAGCCCCTTACAATATTTCAGATTTCTTGGCACATTTTCTAAAGGACGAAAATCTTTCCAAATTCTCTCATTAATTTTCCTAACACACGCACACACACACACACATATGTTATAAAGGGTGTTCCAATAACTTGGACCGATTTTAAATGTGAATTAAGTTTAAGCGTCTAATGATTTTTTTTCTTTTTCTTTCAGATTTGGTGGACATTTGGGCGATATTATTTTTCACACAAAATTGCCATGACTTAAATAACATGATCCAATAGAGAAATAAATAATTTTTCACCAATAACACTGATTTATTTACTGCTGACTTTGATCCGTCTTAATGAAACAACCTTATACAGTGTAACCCGGATATAAGAGACTCGGATATAAGAGAAACCCGGATATAAGAGAGATTTTCTCTGGTCCCAAATTATAGCCTGTGTTAATGTATATAAAATAGACGAAACCCGGATATAAGAGAAACTCGAATATAAGATACTTTTTCTCCGGTCCCGACAACTCTCTTATATCCGGGTTACACCGTATATAATCCGTCTTAATGAAAAACCCATTACTATCCGAATTTCACGCACCTTGCTGCGTGTCACACATTATTTTTGTAAGAAAATGATGATTGATTTTAAATCATTGTTATAAATTGTGGCGAAAAATGATGCATTTCAATATTACTCGATGATCTTGCCGATATGACCTCCATCTTCTGGCTTTCTCCTTTGGATTTTTTGGATTAGGAGCCATTCTCTTGTTCAAATTTAAATTTAATTTAAATCAAAGGGAAAAATAAGTGTGGTTTTGTACAATAACAGCTTGATCTGACCCCTTTGATATGTATTTGATGCAATACTTGATTGAATGAATTGATGAGCAGATTTCAATATTGATATGACAGTTGAATTGTCGCAACAAATATGCGTTATAAGGCAGTATCCATTGATTAGTGATTTCTTGCTCAAATTGATATCTATATTGCCTCATTTTGATCTTACCAATGTGTCCTCCATCTTCTGGCTTTCTCCTTATATATTTTGGATAGGAACCATTCTCTTGTTCAAATTTAAATTTAATTTAAATCAAAGGTAAACGTATTTGAGTATTATCTGTTACTTCATTACACGTGGCACGTATCTAACCAACAAGAAATAACCAAACAAAACATGCCATTAATCTGCGTCTCTTTGCTTCTGATCATTTTCTTTTATCATTTCTATCTTGATCTCTGGTGAAGCTTTAATAAAGTGAAACATGCTAGATTGAGATCTATGTAAATATCATTTACATTTAAATGTATCAATTTAAACGTTATTATTAGTGGGTACTTATATTTGTGTAGGCAATCCGTTTATATATTAAACAGTATATTATTTATATTCACCTACTGGCTTGAAATTTCGTGAAATGTCATTAAAGAAAAAATTGCGTACTTTGTCAGGTATCGAACCTGATTATCACAGAGTACAGTGCGCAGCATTTTAGCCTATAGCCCTTTTAGACTATACCGCTTTGACCAAGAACAGACACTTGGATAGACTAAGCTAATTTTGATGCTAATATATATCTTATATATAAAGAGATTGTATGTGTGTTTATTCGTGTGTGTCCAAGCAACTACTTCACTTCACCTGGTCCGATTTCAATGATTCGTAGCTCATTCAAAAGCCCTAGAAATGTTAGGCGTAGGAGACGATTTTCATTGAGCTCAGATTCAGGCTTATCAGATTATGCGAGCGTTAGAAATATATATTAATATATTATACTAGCCGTTATCATTACTTTCATGCTTCAACGGGAGTAACTTATTTTCTTTTGTATCCCAAATTACAGCTAGCTTAAAAGCCGCCCTATCGGAGGGCATTTAAGCTAACTCCTGTGGAGGACTCTTGGTTTAGCCATCATCATAGTAGCTAGGAAGGAGTAGTTGCGATAGGCATCAATAAACTACAGAATAACTCAAAATTGATTGCTGCAGTATTGAAGTATTGAAATAATGTTTAAGCTTACCTTTTAAAAGTTCAACGATAATTCTTCTGCTACCATTTAATTTAAAGACGATTTGATGTACGTAGATCTTTATTTTCTGTACAGACAAATATTTTTATTTTATGGGTAACAGAATAGGGGACAATTTATAAGATAAAATTAATATAGCGTAAAGATGAGAAAATAGAATTAGTTATAAATTCAACATTTGAAGTTTTAGAGAAAAAAAACTAATTAAGTAAAACGTATATTATGAAATCTATATGAATAAATCGAAATTGGAGAGCAATTCTGCCACAAATTCTGAGATTAAGAAGCCCCAGCTTTAATTTAGAGAAATTTATGCACAAAGTTCAATATCTGTATTATATATTATCTACTTCTAGTCAATATCACTCTTCAGGTTTAACTAATTTGCATATTGATTTTAAAAAGTTCATTTTATTAATTAACTATCCTTTATTATTGTTGTTTTATTCAAGGATTGCTTTGAATTTCATATAAAAAATAGTTCTGTTTAGGAATATCGTCTTATATAGTGCAGAAAAGTGTTTGATATTTGCATTTTACTTGGCGTTCAACAAGTTGGAATCCTATTTGTAAAACTTTCCTTAACTATAAGAAACCAATTTATGAATGAAATGTTCATTTAAAATTTTTGTTTCAAAGATTTCAAGTATTGAATATATCTTACTTTGCGAAGAGATAGTGAGCGGGCAAAGCCTGCTAGTACTCATATATATATATATATATATATATATATATATATATATATATATATATATATATATATATATATATATATATATATATATATACGTTACTTGTCCTGGCTAAGACAATAAACTACATCCGAGAGTAAGGCCTCTGGTCAGGAGGTTTTGAGGAGCGTGAAACCACCTCTCCATTGCTGCTGTTCCCAGATCCAAACTGACCTGGGGTGGTAGCATCTGTCAGGGTCCCAGCTATGGGTGAATTGTTACTAATGTCCCCCAAACTGGAGTCAGGTGGGACATAGCGCTGAAACATAAAAATGCTGAGGCTGGTGTTTGCGGACCCGTTTAAACCACCGGAAGATATGTCCTCCTTAGCCTTAGTCAAGGCAGACATGTAAGAGAAGGGAAAAATCTGAGATAAAACCTGCGGCTTTTGATGGTATCCAATGATGTCGACTTGCTCTTCTTTTTGGTAAATATCATCTTTTTGCTTAGAGAGTGACACTGGCTCTGTGCACTGGCTTTTCCCGCTGGTTTCAGGCACATGTATTTCTTAATATCTGGAGATCATGAACCTGTCATCTTAATGTAGAATTATGGCTAGCCGTAACCTAAAAAGCAACTTGCATTACAATGAAGGTATTTAATACAATCTAAGTCAATAGCAATAAGGGCTCTGAAACCAGATGCAAAAAGGTCTGGCCCGTCTGCTGTCCCAGGGAGCCGCAACTTGGGGCCAGTCGTCATCATGCTACCGTGTGCAAACTACTCAAATTTAGGTGCTGGAATTTGCGTAGTTAATATTGAAGCAAATGTAGAGCGACCTGAGATAAGTTCTGCACTGGTTGATAAGAAGCTCCAAAGATATGACATAACTGTTGTGGCCCTTTCGCAAACTAGATTTTTGCGGGAAGGGCCATTTCATAAAGAAATCTGGTGGCTATACTTTTTTTCTGAAGGAAGAAGGGAAAGAGAGAATCAGGTGTTGCTTTTGCAATTAGGACATGAATTACTAGACAGTTAAAAGAGTTTCTAACAGGCGCCAATGATAAAATGATCACTATGAGAGTTCCTCTAGTATATGGAAGATATGCAACGTTGATTGTTCTTTATACATCAACCATGGTTTGCACAGAGTAAGTAAAGGAAGCTTTTTATAACAAGGGCTAAGGATGGGAAAAAAACTTCTTCGAGATACCGATGATATTCTGTTGCGATGACGTGAAAATTTTGACGAGCTACTCAGAGGTTGACGCAGATATTATCAAATCTATAGCTGAACATTCTGTTAAATAATTTCTCGCAGACCCTCCAAAATTTGAGGAGGTTGAAAGTGCTGTCATAAAGCTTAATGGTGGAAAGTCGCTTGAAATCGATGGGCTACATGCCGAAATTTTTAAGCACAGAGAAGAAGGTCTTTTGCATAGGTTTCATTCGTTGTTTCTAGATGCCTAGAGTAATAACAGTGTTCCGGATGACTGGAAAGATGCTGTCAT